CGATTTCACCTTCAAATTCATCGAAGAAAAGAATAAAATAATGCACGGTGGGCTAGTGCAAGAAGAAAAAAATTTAGAAAGGGATATATGTTGAGAATGAACTCATATAATTTAGACTTCCCATTCTGACTTAAAAATAATTCAGACATATAGATTAGAACAAATGAACAATAACCATTATAATTAAAGCTCTACCTCAGCTCTCCTTGTTTGTGCCTGGAAAAACACAGCTTGGTTTCCACCACATTTTGGACATGGATGATCTTCAGTTTTTGGCAAAGTGGGATCGTGAACTACGTCAGCGCAAATCTGTGTTAGTTCACTAAAAATTACAACAACTTCTTTACAATGCTGAAACTAGACATCTACATAAACAAAAGAACTCACTCTACTTCGTGCACCAATTTATTGACGTAGATGCATGGATTATCTGCAATCTGTTTGTGGTCACAATTCCGGCAGGCATACATTAATTGGCGATGTTCTTTGTCCTCTCGAGGGTACAACATATTATTGCTGAAAAAGCAAAGATAAGCATTGTTAACACAAAGATGTCAGTATATTACTCGGAATGCTCAAAATGATAAGTTTCATTTCGTATCTTTTTTGTGAAAGCTATGTCAGATACTCCTAATCATAATCTTCAAAAAGTTTCTCCTTCGCCAATATGATTCCCCTATTTACCTTCTTAAATATCCTACGAAACTCACAACTAAAGCATGTTAAAAATCTCTGCTCCAGAAGATTACTGAAACAGCTTTCTCCTTAAAGTGGTCTTCCCCTAATCAAAACCTCACTAAATGATATTTGAGCGGAACCTAATGTTGCGAAAATGGGAATCCCTATCCAGCAAATGTTGTTACTCAAGTAGTTTCGTACAATACGCCAATTCTGACATAATTAGAAGAACCTTCTCCATAAGAACTATAATGCGGCTCAAAAAACCAAGAAACAGATTTATAGTGGAGGAAAAACTTACCATTCAGGACAAAACTTGATTCCTACAAAGCCGGGCCCGCTCATAATTAGTCTAAAAAAACTCCTACAGATAACGTCGATACTTATGAGAAGACCTGTATTTTTGAAAGAAATTTACAACTGCTGTCAAAAATGCGTCTCTAAAAGAGAATCAATAATCACCCTTTCTAGCTGCAGCATAACCCTAACTAAATTGCAATACAGTTGGAAATGAATGATGAAAAACAGGTACAGCATTTGCACCAACATTTGCGATGAAACCAACATAACCAGCATACTGTAAAAACTTTATCTAAACCATATTCACAAATAAGAGAAGATATATTGAATCAAAAACTAATGTACATGTTATAATATGTACAATCGTTGTTAATGGAAACAAATGTGAAGGAAAAAAAATAAGGAGAACCCATGCGTACTCAGCTCCTCATAAATCGAATACTAACAGGAGCTGAACAAATGACTATTCCCCAATATCACACATAATTAGAAAACTGGAAATGTACGACGGAGAAAAAAGACGTTATTACTCTCAACTTAACAAATGATTAACAGTGAAATAAGGTAAATCAAAGGATTGAAATCTGCCACGTAGACTGAAGCTTAAGAACATAAAAACGCCAGAGGTGAAGTAAAAGTAATTTGTACATGTTTTAACTTATCTGTTCTCTTTATTCATCCCAATCCACCCAGTTGTCCTCCTTCTTTTCCTTCTCTTTATCGTCGCCATCGTCTTTGGGGCGTGGAGTCAATGGTCCGGTTTGCTCATCATCACCGTTGGTTGAACTAATCTCCTAAAGAAAATTGCATTGCTCCGCCATCTAATTAAACGGTAAAATAAGAGATACTATTTCAATCAATGTTACTATATGAACACATTATGATTATCAATTTCGACGCTTAACTCTAATGAAACTCTCTATCTAAGATAAAGCAAAAGTCGGATGGAAAGAACCCGTTAAAGAGCAAAACTTTCACGCGTTCTCACAACTGTTTGCTCCCCACATGCGCGTGATCTGCGTTATTTACAACGGAATCCTAACCAGCATGATGAAGAAGGGCCAAACCATGGAAAAGATGGTTGGAAATAAACTCATTAATGTAGGTAAGTAATTAATCCGGAACAAATTAAAGGCTGTTAAAGCCCTTTCTTTTTATACTCTAGAGATAACGTTCGCGGCGTTGATCAATCCCTCATCGATGTGTCCTGCATTCGAACTCATCAGAGACTGTAAAGGCGTTTAAAAGGTATAAGGCCTATATGATGGCTTGGGAGGACCATCAATGTTCAGTTAGCGCTTTTATCCTCCCAGAGACCTCTAGCTCAATTCTCGACATTGGAAGGATGGAATGCTTGGCTGGCCCAAAGGAGAAGCCTTCTCATATTTGGTGAAAGCAGCGTTATTTGCCGCGAATTATAAGATAACTTCAAAGTCGAACATTTGCCTAAACAAGAGACAAAAACCTTTGTAGGATTCCAGATGACACATAACAACACAGCTAACAAGTTGGCAATAACAACACAGAATTTGTCCTTGCAACAACGGCAAAAGTCGAGAAAATGGAGCTAAGCCTTATAGCCAAAGCAGTGGAAATGAAGATGCAAGATTGATGGAAGACCCAGAGTTAAAGCTAAGGCGCTAGAATGCGATCAGCGGGACTAACTTTGGAGAGATGGAAAAGCTTGAAATCAGTTAAAAGTTTGATGATTGATTTGAAAATTACTATCTACAGAAAAACTAGTAGATAAAAATCTCATACTCCAATGCAACAAAAGAAAAGTATAGAACATTACTTGTCGGAGGTATATCTTCTCAAATTACGTAAAAACGTCTACCTCAACATAATTCTTCTCACTGCATACACTCCAATCATCAGCCGATGCAGCGGGACTAGTTGGTTGATGATCAACCACAGCAATTGATCCATCAGAACTAGGCGACTCGCCTGAATTGTTCAT